GGAGCGAATACAATTTTATCTTTATCGCGTCAAAGGCAAATCAAACTTTAGATGAAATTTTGAATTAACAAAAATTATTGAATAAATATAATTTCGAATAATTGCGAATTTTACCTGATGGCCTTGGAGAAGCTGGCTCTGATCCGTTGGGGCTTTTAGATATTTCTAACAAGGGACTTTCCGGAATTCCCAATGTATTAGACTCGTCTTTGAATTTACTTAGTCTCTCGCCGAGGTTGTGACTGTTTTGTTTACTTAATGATTAAATGCGAACAATCTGATAGTTATAATCACCCTGCAGTAATTATGTTGAATTAATTTTGATTTTGGATATCCAATTACCTCTTCTCATTCTCCTGTTGACCATCAGTATTATTTTTCTTATTATTATTCTTATCCACCACCCTAGATGAAATATAAGTCGATAATTTATAAAGCTATAATGACTGAGTAAACCTATAGTTAGGTATTTATGTGAACCATGTTTTTCGACTCACCCAAACCAAACAATTGTTGGTGGCAAAGCGTCCGGCATTTTTACCAGTGGACTTTTGCTCAGAGCCAATAATTCTTCTTTGGTGTACCGAATTATCTTCTTTGTCTGTATAAAACAGCGATCTGTACGTGTAACCAATTCATCAGTAATCACTTTATCTAGGTCTCCTGAAAACGTCTGGATTTTGGTATCTGACTGAGGCGAATCCGCAGACGCATGGCTGCTAAACTCGCTTGATTCAATCGTCGCATCTCCAACCTCAGGCATTTGAAATCGCCAGCTGAATTCAAAGACTGCAAATGAATCAATAAGAGAGGGGTTGTTTTATTATCAGTCGGTTAACGATTGTATTTACGAGTATCGTCACAGGCGAGACCTAGAATACAAGGCGATTTAAAAAGTAGAAGAGAAAAATTTATGTATTTTATGATCGAATAATATACTGAGAGTGTAATTTTTGTTTGGGAAATTTCGTATTGTGTGATACCTGCCAAGCAACTATCACAATAATAATGTATATAATTTGGCTGTATATACATATTTCGTATATAAACAGTGATGCAATGGTTTTATTGGGCAAATATGTAATTAACGGATTATCAAAACACCGGCTTTATAAATTACATATTTATAACTGTATATCGCAGGTTACCTTCCAAAGATGAAAGATAGAAAAAAATCCTGTCAGCCCGAGTTTTTTTATACATGACAAATAAAATGACTCTAGAGAAGACTTTTTGCGACGTTATTTTCGCCGATATCAATAATAATAATAATAATAATAAATCATTCGTGGAAATCCCGTATACCAAGTATTTCGTTCCACGGCACACCTGTCATATAGTAGCAATTTTATTCGAAAGTTACTGACCTTGCGATAGAGTTTATCCTATGACTACGATCAAAAAGGTACAATAAAACCAAAAGGACGAAGGATTTAAATAAAAATGAAGTAGGAAAAAATGTAACTTCTCTTGCAACCCTTTGTGTATGTATGTTATCATAATGACAGCTTCGCGAAGTGGTAATTTTCCATATAAACTAATGTATAAAGAATAAATTCAACATGCCAAACATGAGAAATCGGGTATTACAGTACAACGAACCATAAATATGAACAAATTACTCTTGCGACGGTATCTCAACGGGCGCACCAGAATGCAAGGACTTCCTTCATTTGATGGCAAGTCGTCCTCTGCTTCCAATGTAAAAACCTAAAAACTATCCACAAATAATGATCGATCAGTCTGTTCATACTAAGACAAATATACAAATGTTTCCAGGTGTTCGATGATCAAAAAAGATCATAGGTTTGCTGCTTTGGGGAATCGGACGTTGTAAAACATGTCGAGAATAAAAACTGCCGAGATTTGATTTCCGCCGAACCATCGACCATTGAGGCCGTTCACAGCGTTTTGAGCGGCAGGCACGCTATCAAATTTCATGTAAATATCTCCCTTGAAATAATAATAAGATTTTAGATAACAGCTATATGTTTTTAAAGACTAAAAAAACGGATACTTACTTCAGATTCCTTGTCGACACTGATGTGAACTAATGTACCGAATTTTTCACACTCGGTCTTCACATCATCTTCAAGTTCTTCGGCCCAATTTGATTCGGTTTCACTAAAATAAACAAATAATATATTCATTAATGTTACGGAACGGCATATAAACATAAATATCAGTAATTATTTTGCTTACTCTTCCGGATTAAACATGTTTTTCAATAATACACAACGGGTTGGATTCACCCTTGGCTGGATGGGCTTTGGTCTGCAATGATTAACCAAAAAGCGAATGGTTATTCAATAACTAGCATTCCCTATTAAACTATCATTAAATAATAATTCTACTAACGGTTCTGTCAAAACAGGGGTGGCAGTAGGTGCAATTAAGTCAGTATCACGAGCCAACTTTTGCATTAATTCCACCCTTGATTGCGCGTTGAGTGCCAAGCCAGCAACATCTGTATTAGACAAT